TATTTTATTATCTTTTTTTTTATATAAGTAAGGAGATCTGGTGACATAATGTATAAGGCATTTGACTGCTAACCAGAAAGTTGGCAGTTCAAACCCACCAGCCACTCCGCAGAAGGAAGACTGGGCAATCTACTTCCGTAAAGATTTACTGCCACAAAAACCCAAGGTTTGTTCTGTTGTTGACTTCTATGATTTTTTCTTTCTTCCTCCTTCTCTCTGCTGACCTCTTTTGTATTTCTAATGAATCTTCTCCTTCTCCAACTCTCTGCCTCTCCCAGCTAGGCAAGTTTGTTTATTTTTCCCAGTTATTTAATCTGCTCTTTTTCTATGCCTTCAATAAATCTGGTGCTTTAGCTTCTCGTTAGTTGCTCATAACTCCAGTATCATTATTTCCATCTGCTTTAACCTAGTTATTCAGGGATTGCATTGCTCAAGAGAACAAACGTGTGGGTTATAGGTATGAGGCCATCTTTCCCCGAGTCGGTTCTGTTGTGACATTGCATATTTCATTTCTTATTTGTGTTATTAACATTTTCTTCTTCTTTTCCTTTGTTTGATTTGCCAGTGGTTTGTTGGTTTTATTAATCCTTCTTCTAGTCTTGTAGATTATTTCTGTTGTCTTTCTGTTTCATTTATTTCTGCTCTAATCTTTACTGTGGGAGCTCTGGTAGCATAGTGGCTAAGGCACTTGACTGCTCACCAGAGGGCTGGCGGTTCAAACCCACCAGCCACTCCTCGGAAGGAAGGTTGGGCAATCCTACTTCCGTAGTGATACTGCCTCGGAAACCCAAGGAGGGGTCGCTATGAGTCAGGGCTGACTCGACGGCACATAACAACAACAACAACAATCTTTACTGTCTCATTTTTCTGATGACTGTAGTCTGGTTTTGGTGCTCTTTTTCTAATTAATGGAGTTGTTGGGTTAAGGTATTGATATTGGTTCTTTCTTCATGTTTTGATGTATGCATTTATGGGTATAAATTATCCTGTGAAAACTCCTTTGGTTGCATCCCAAAGGTTTTGGTTTTCTATGTGTTCATTCTTGTTTGATTAAAGGATTATTTTGTTCTATTTCCCAGTAGCTTTTAAGCAAGGTGCTATTTAGTTTCCATATATTTGATATTCTTCCTTGCTCTTCCTGTTGTTGATTCATAATTTTATAGCATTGTGATCTGAGAAGATGCTTTGTAGTATTTCAGTGTTTTAAAATTTATTGAGGCTTGGTTTTTGGCATAGTATATGGTCTATTCTGGAGAATGATCCATGTACACTGGAACAAGAATGTATATTGTACTGTTGTTGGGTGGAGTGTTCTGTGTATGTCTATGAAGTCAAGTTGATTGTATTGTTTACCTCTTCTGTGTCTTTGTTGAGTTTCTCTCTAGTTGTCTGTGCTTCATCGATAGTGGTTTATTAAAGTCTCCTACTATTATTATATAGTTGTCTATTTTTCTTTTCAATTATGTTAAAGTTTTATTTATGTATTTTGGGGCTCTTTCCCTGGATACAAAGATATTTATTTTGGTTATGTCCTCTTGTTCAATTAACCCTTACTCGGTATATAATGTGTTTCCTTGTCTCTTATGCTGGTTTTTGCCTTGCAGTCTGTTTCATCAGAAATTAATATTGCCACTTCTGCTCTTTTCTGGTTGCCATTTGCATGATATGTTTTTTCATCCTTCTTTTTTAGCTTATTTTTGTCATTTTCTCTAAGGTGTGTCTCTTGTAGACAGCATATTGATAGGTCATGTTTTCTTATCCATTCTGCTATTCTCTGTCTTTTGATTATATTAAATTCATTTACATTCTGTGTAATTATAGATAGGTATGAATTTATTGCTGCCATTTTGCTGCATGGTTTGTTTGTGGTACTATTATTTCTCTGTTCCATATATTTTTCTATGCTGAGTTCATTTTGTTTGTGAATCGTTTCCTTCATTACTGTTGTTTTAGTACCTGTTAGATCTTTATGATTTTCATCTTTTTTTATTTTTATGAGAAGTTTTATTAACTTTCTTTGAAGTTACCCTATATATTATTATTATCTTTGTAAGTTTAAAACAATGTGTTCTATTTTGATATCATCTTGACTTCCTCTCCATTTGGAAGTTCTGTAACCACAGCACTTATTCCCTCTTTGTGCTTTGTAGTTGTCCTCATTGACAAACTGGCATGCTTGGTTCTCTATCTGCAGTCTTGTAGGTGTATTTTACTTTGGATACTTCTATATCTGGGTTGGTTTCTGGGTAATGTTGTCATGTGTGTTACTCTCACATTGTTGACTGCCGCTTTTGGTTTTCTGTCCAGAAAACTCCCTTTAGTATTTCTTGTAAGAAATGCAAATTTCTAGTAGTGTAGTTTTTACAAATTCCCCCAATTTTGTTTATCTGGAAATGTCTTAATTTTGCCATCATATTTAAGGGGCAGTTTGCTGGGTATATAAGTATTGGTGGGCCATTTTTTTTTTTTTTTTCCTTTCAGAGTCTTCTATATGGCTTCCCATTGCCTCCTTGCCTACATGGTTTCTACTGAGAAACAGAGCTTAGTCTTATTGACTTTTTTTTTTTTTTTTTTGTAGATAACTTTTTGTTTTTTCCAAGTTTCTTCAAAGATTATTTCTTTGTCTTTGTCTTTGGAGTTTGATTATGTCTTAGTGATTTTGTTTTGAGGTCTATTCTTTTGAGGGTTCATTGGTATTCTTGAATGCACATCTTCTCATCCTTCATGGTATTAGGGAAGTTTTTGTCCAAAACATCTTCGACAATTTTCTCTGCGTTTTTATCTTCTGTTCTGTGATTTTGATCACATATAAGTCATTCTTCTTGATACTATCTCACATAATTCTTACACTTTCTTCTTTTCCCATTCTTTTTTCTGACTGTCCTCTAACAGATTAGTACTGAGAGATTTGTCTTCAATTTCACCAATTCTATCTTCCATTGATTCAATTTGATTCCTTTGCCTTTGCAATGAGCTATTACTGCATCTTAGTATTAATCTTATGGATTTTTTTTTATGGTTTCTAATTTTTTATTTATTTTATCAATTTGTTTTTGTATTGTTTCTTGAATTCTTCTAGGGTTTTGTCTGTGTTTTCCTTGATTTTGTCTGTGCTTTTCTTGATCTGCCTCTCAATATGTTAAATGTACCTAAATATAATTCTTTTGAATTCCTTTCAGATAATTCCAATACCACTTTTTCCCCAGGAAGGTTTTCTGGCTCTGTATTTTGGTCACTTGTTTGAGCCACCCTGACTTGTTTCTTTGTATAGACTGAGATTATCTGTTGTATTTGAGACATCATAGTGTTTTTATATTTGTATTTAACTGATGATTGGATGTTGGTGTATTTATTCCAGATTTGTTTTGTTTTGTTTTTTACTTTATTTTATTTTAATGTATCCAGGCTTGATACTCTACTCACAAGTTTAGCTGAACTTAGGTACTCATCACTTAGTGAGTTGTTTTTTTTTTTTTGTTTGTTTGTTTTTTTTTTATACTCTACTCCATAGTGAACAAGTCACCCTTCTCCCCACCTAGCACATGTTGCCCATGGAACACAGTCCAAAGTCCTTGCAGGTAAATCAAGACCCTTGACAGTCTTTCTATAGTTCTCCTTTGAAGGCTCTGTACATCTCCCTTCCCCCTCCACATACCTCATATATGCTGTGCTACTCACTGTTGCTCAAGTGCTCACCCTTAATACTGTGTCCTGAAGCTTGTGCTAGAATATGATGGGAATGTATATGCAGTTCTCTGTTCATGTAGAGCAATTGAGGGTTGGCTGAGCTGTTGTTGGCCACTGTTTGTCATCAATCAGGTAATGCAGGAGTGGGTGATGGCACTCACCCAGTAGGTGGAGCTGCAGAAGGTGTGAATGGTAGCTGGGTAGGGTGGATTTAGTTGCTGTCTTCCATTGGGTGAGACAAAAAAAAAAAAAGCCAAGAAAAAAAAAAAGGATAGGAAGAAAAGAAAGGAGAATAAAAGGAAGCAAAAGACAAAAACAAGGGAGAAGGGAAGAAACGGAAAAGGAAAGGAAAAAAAAAAAAGAGAGAGAAAGCTGGGGCAGAGGTGGCAGGTTTCAAACTACCAAGGGGTGTCCAGCCTGGGGCAACACACTCTGAAGATTGAGGAGACAGAGAGCATGGCCCACCAAACATGAGAGTGATGTGCACACAGTGGCCAATTCATGATGGCATACCTCCAATCTCAAGCAGGGCAGGTGTGATGTAGGGAGTGTCACTGGCTGCTGGGTGGGTGTAGGGGTCACCACACTTCTGGTCACCAGGAGAGTGTGGGGAATAAAGCAGAGATCCCACCTTTCTGGAGGCCAGCCACCAGTGTGGGCGCTATGTAGTCCTGGGCAAGCTGAGCTGATTATCAGGTTCCTGCCCAGATCATAATTCTGCTGGCAAAAATTCAAAATGGCATGCTGTTTTAAACCAATGAAAACTCACTGCTCTGTATATCTCCTTGTTCACTGTTTTTGTTCAGTGTCTTCCTCTAGTCAGTATTTGATCTACATTTTTATTCTTTCCTTTGAAGCTGAGGGCTCCAGGACTATCATCCATATCTGTTTCATTTGGTTTCTTGGGACTTTGTGCACAGGGTCTGGGTAGCCTGTCTGCCTATTCTGCCATTTTGCCAGAAGTCTCCACAATTCAACAAACTTGAATTGAATATCTACGTTGTATGAGGGCAGCCCTCATTGTGGGCACTAAGTCTTGTCCCATCCTGTAGTATTTTTAACCATTGTAAGAATGTTTTGTGTCTAATGGCATTATTGGGCCCTGAGGGAAAAGTACATAACATGTACAATGTGGTATTTGTATTTGTATTCCCCCTCTGTATTGCATTCTCTTGGATCACAGAGCTAATTTCCTTTCATTAGCTCATTAACATTCACAGCCAGGGTTTGCTTTCACTTTCTTAGGCTCCTAATGAAATACTGACTGTAAAGGTAAAAGCTACTCACACTGTTTGCCCTTTGATGTCTTCCAGGATTTTCTTCCCAGGAAGCCATCCCATCAGAGGCGTGCAGGTAATGAAAGTTGGCAAACTGCAATTACATCAAGGCATGTTTCCCCAAGCAATGAAAAATCTGAGACTGGTGAGTTTCCCAAGATGTTATATAGTTCTGCCTGGCATACTTTTCTTAATGACTGTAGCTGGGATGCTGCTTTGTGATTTTTAGCACACACACATACATATGCACATACACAAGTGTATGTTTAACAACCAGCACCACCCACCAAAAAAAAAAAAAAAAAAAAGCCCTGATTGGTAATATATACCAATTTCTGTAGTGTAAATATGCATACTGTGGTTGGTTTCAAACTACCAAGGTGAAGTCATTCAGTTTGCAAAAATCATGAAAATTTAAGTCAGCTCTCCCAAACTGGTGCAAATCGCCCTCAGAATATTTTTGCACGTGTACTCTCTGGTGACATAGTGCCTAAGGCATTTGACTGCTAACCAGGAGGCTGGTGGTTCAAACCCACCAGCCTCTCCTTGGAAGGAAGATTGGGCAATGTACTTCCGTAGAGATACTGCCTAGGAAACCCAAGGAGGGGTCGCTATGAATCAGATCTGACTCAACAGCAGTGAGTTTGGTTTTTGTTTTTTTTTTTTTTTTGGTACTCTACTCCATAGTGAACAAGTCATCCTTCTCCCTGCCTAACACATGTTGCCCATGGAACACAGTCCAAATTCCTTGCAGGTCAATCAATACCCTTGACAGTCTTTCTATAGTTCTCCTTTGAAGATTCTGTAAATCTCCTTTCCCCTTCCACATACCTCATATATGCTGTGCTACTCACTGTTGCTCAGTTGGTCACCCTTAGGTCTTTACAAAGATGTTATCTCTGCTTTAAGTGCCTTCCTCACCCTTATTCCCTAGAAGAACTCTACTGATCTTTTAAAGCTCCCCTCAAACCTCATTTCCTCCTTGTGTTCCCACAACCCTTTGCTCACTGTCAGTAGCACATTGTGTTGTTGTTGTTGTTGTTGTTATGTGTCATCAAGTCGGACCCGACTCATAGCGACCCCTCCTGGGTTTCCGAGGCAGTATCACTATGGAAGTAGATTGCCCCATCTTCCTTCCGAGGAGTGGCTGGTGGGTTTGAACCGCCAGCCTTCTCGTTAGCAGTCAAGTGCCTTAGGCACTATGCTACCAGAGCTCCCTCATCACATTGTAGGAGGTAGTTATTTTATCACACACACACAAACAGATACACATTGGCCCCACATCCTGGAGACTGTGGCTTCTTTGTGGTATCTTCATAACCAGTTCACTGCCAAGTAAGGTACCTGGAGCTTAGTAAATACTTGTCATTGGAAGAAAGAAGGAAGACGGGGCAGGTCAATACAATCCTAGCAGTAAGTGCTGAGAAACTGAATGGTAGAATTGGGCTGGTGTTAGAGTACATTGTTTAAAAAATGACATTTATTTTCACCCTCTCAGTGAGTCTCTTCTGTCCTAGTGCTCCAGGACTCTCTACTGTCCTTGACTGCCCGTAGGGCAGCACTTTGTCCTGACCTCCCATTGTGGCAGAGCTCCCTCTCTCCCAATCCATGGCCCTCCAAAATAAGAGCTCATGTGGTTATCTGACCCACATGCTGTAGGTCCTGTAGAGACCCCACATGTGAAGAGCACCTGACATTTTAGTCCTCTGGCCATAATGCCCTTATCTACAGAAGAGCTTCCATGGAGGCATCCAGGGCCCTGTATCAGGGTTGGTCAGGGAGTATTCAGGGACTAGCTGATCTCACATGGTAGCTACATACATTTAGAAGAGAAATATTACTGCTGCCTAAGGAAGGTTGGGCAATCCTACTTCCGTAGTGATACTGCCTCGGAAACCCAAGGAGGGGTCGCTATGAGTTGGGGCCGACTCGACGGCAAATAACAACAACAACAACAAGGGATTCTTAAAAATAAGATTCCCTTAATTCTAGTTCTTGTTACTGTTACTTAATTCTAATTCTTGTTCTTGCTAGCCATGTTGCCTTTTTCTTGATCTCTAATTGAAAACAGCCAATAGTCAAAAGGAAACACACTAGGATTTACTGGAGGCATACAACTCTTCGTTACCTTTTTACCTTGGCAGATGTCTTTATCCAGACTTATGGAAGAACACTTAGCTGTCTCTTGCAGTTGCAGGGAGAGCTTTTTCTTTCTGGTCTGATAGTTGTAAGCCAATCAAATCAGACAACACTATTTATTGAGGATCTACTGTCTGACATTTTGGACAGGAAAATACTGTGGAGGAAATTTCCATATTATGAAGTACCAAACCGAGGATCACTTGCAAGTACATGTTTCATAAGTGATCAGGTTAATCCCTTATGTTTATATAGGACTGGAAAGTACTAATATTGCTTGTACATGTATGATTTTATCTAGTCCTCATGACAGATGACAGCCATATGAAGCCAGTGGGAGAGGCATTTTCATTCCCATTTGAAATGAAGGGGTAAGGTTTGGAGACACTCAAGAGCTTCTCTAAAGTCACATTGAGGCACAGCCAGGTCTAGTTTATTCCATTTAATTCAGCACATGTTCACTAAATGCTTCTATTAATCAGAATAAGACCCAATGTTGTCCTTACAATTTAGTGGAGGAGACAAACCTGTGAACAAGTCATTAAATCCAGGCTGGTATCCAAGGCTCTGTTCTTTTCCTCTTGGCCGGACCAGTGAAATAGATGAGGTTTTCTAATAGGACTCAGTGTATAGAAATCCTTTCAGATCCATCTGTGTTCCTGATGCCAAGTCAGAGGAAAATGTTGGGGGAAAAATCAGAGATTTGCCCCTTCTCCATTCTTCATGTGAGGCTTTAGCTATTACATGAAGAACCATTGAAGGAGACATCTAATACCCTCAGCTGCACAGATGAGCCTGTTTCAATCCAGACAGACATCTAGGTACAACTTTAGTGGACAACATATGTGGGGCTGATGGTGTTTATCATAGCTGGCCCTTCTAATGACCCTCTAATTCCTCCTGGTGCCCATATCTATTCTCTGTCATCCTCATGCCTCTTGTGAGGTTGCCTCACCTCTTGCAGGTTGTTTCTTTGATAATATTTTAGCATGTTGTGCTTCTGATACCAAAGATCAAGCCAAGCATTGCCCCCATAGCTGCCAAATGAAAGGTATTCTGGGAGCAGCACCGGAATGCCTGGGATGAGACCTGGGGTTAAGTTGTGGCCTTACCTCAGATCTCTTTGTTGACCCTAATAAAGTCACTGAATCTTTTGCCAGGTTCTGATTAGCAAGTAAGGAGCAAATGTTCACCCCAGGCAGTGTGGTGTAATAGAAAAAGCATTAGGATTTAGAGTCTGTTGGTTTAAATTCCAGTTCCAGCAGTTACTAATTTTTATGACTTGAAAACCAGAAACACCAAACCAGTTGTTGATTCTAACTCACAGCAACCCCATGTGTTACAGTGTTGAATTGCACTCAGGGTTTTTAGCAAGTCACTTAATCCCTCTGAACATAATTTTCTTACTTTTAAAATGAGAATAATGCCTGCCTCCCATAGAGTTGTTTTGAGAATTAAATGAGATAGTACAAGAGCCAGTTTCATCAGGTCCTAAGCATTTTGAGAATATAAAAGATAATAATTGTTACAAGAATTCTTGTTCTGATCATACCCCATAATCAAGTACCTTTAGACTTCTGCTTGTAGTTTGGGGTTATACTGCGGTTGTTTGTTGAACAATTATGTTCTATACTTGCTCCCCAGCAGTTCCAAAGGGTTTGTCTCCCCAAAGTCAGGGACCCTGACTTATGTGCTGTCATCTTCTGGTGCTACCTAATATAGATACACATGCCTCAAATACAATAGATTCTGTTAAATATACGCTTAAATGAAGGGATTTTTTTAAAAAAAAAAAACTAATAGAGGACTTTAAAAGCCCTACCCTGGCTGTATTCTTTCAGTTGTAAATGGCTAATGGACCAGAACTTCTCACTACCTCTGTTCAACATTTGCTAGCAAAGGGACTGCCTGAACACACCATTTCTTTGTGAACTCATACCACCTGTGAGTCTAGAATCAAGTCAGCTTCCTTGTGCCAAAAGTGCCTCTTCTTGAGCTTTCTCAAGACTCAAGTAACCCAGAGAGGGGACAGGGAGGATATATATTATTTGCCCTTTGAAATGGATGTGCTCTTTAGACTGGCACCCTTGGATATTGTTCCTTGTCTTAGAAACCCTTGAAATAATGGACTGAAATAACTTGAATAAGGGTTGCAAAGGTTGAATTGGAAACAAAACTCAGAAACTCTTTAGGAACAGAATAGTTACAGATCCTATTAGACCCCTGCTCCCCCAGGAAAGAAATTCACTTAGCTCAGCTCTGATTTGGTTTAGGCTTCCATCTCCACTTGGCTCAGCAGAAATTCTTACGATTACTGCCACAAGACAGTCCAGGGGTCCCATCATGGTGCTCCCTCTTGCTTGCTTCTGTCTCAAATCTACTTTTATTTCTTCCCATTTATTTCTTGGGAGAATTTTGTTTGCTACTAATTTGACTTCTTAGACCTCAAGGGCAACTGTTTCCACCTGGACTGTCTCGTCCAACAGCCTGTTTATTTTCTATGAGCTCTACGTTGTCCAGGCTCCTGCACCTTGGTCCCAGAGTAACTGCTTTGGTAGCTGAAGTCAGATAGTAAAAAGCCAGAAATTTCCCCCTCAGTAATATTTCTTAACCCAGATTTAAATTTCTGGCATAACACTCTTAATTCTCATTACATTTTGTTAAAGGATTTTACATTTAGGGATCTGTTTCAGCTTTTCCTGGACCTGAACTTAGAATGCAGGCCAGGCAGCTTCTAGATGCATTAGGTCCTGGACTTTGCTTCTCTCAGAGTTATTAGCTACTTCAGTACATCCAGGAGAGCTCAGAGCCCAAGACTTGTCTACTTGCTACCTAATATAGGTCTCTGTCTACTCCTGCTCACACCCAGATTTCCAGCCTTTTAAAATGGCTGACTTAAAATGTGCAAATTCAGTTGTTCCCATTTCTTTATCTGATACATTGATTCTTAACTTCTTTGGGGTGCTTTGTCTTAGGGATCTGATGAGGACCACCTACTCATGACTA